GGGTGCTTCCCCAGCTGTGCTAAGTCTTCCAGGGCCTCTATCTCTTCCCAGGGACCATGACATGTGCACCAGGGTTATGAGAAGGATGTGGAAATAACAGATGTGGGAGTGTTTGTGTCTCAGCAGGCCACCAAAAGCTACTTTTCCTAGGAAACTGTCCCCAGGATAAATCAAACCCAGATGGGGGAGGGGAATTCAAAACAAGGGAAAGTCGGCCAAACTAAGAGGCACCATCTAAGTACTGGGCTCTGACTCATCTCACGGGGCCAAGCATGGTATGATGGACGGGGGAGTCAGGAGCACCGGGTTCGAATCCCAATCTTGCCAGTAACGCTTTCCAACGTCCAATAACTTTTTTGAATGTCAGTTTCCTTACCTATAAACCTGTGAGGGTCTGGGGTTAGAAGATGCCAGGGAGACTACATGACAATTTCCCACCCCAGTACCCAAGAACCAGGTGGCAGCCTAAGCCCTGGGTCCCCTACCCACAGCTGAGCCTCCTCCTTAACAGGGGGAGCAAATGAAGGTCTGGCCTCCTGTGCCTGTCCCCCGGGCTTCCCACCAGGGGGCAGTGTGCCACCCAGCCCCCACACCTGCCTGTCTGTCCCCCTCACCAGCTCCAAGGCCCCCTCTCCCCTTGATAAGTAACTGTGATCTGGGTGACAAAAGCTACCTTTGTTCCCGTAAACTGGACTGGCAGGTTTCCACACCCAATTTGCTTAACCAGGAAACAGTCCAATCCCTAGAGCACAGCCCCCAGGCAGCTCAAGTACTAGGAGGTAGAGGCAAGGTGGGAGGAGAGGGCAGGTCTGCACGTGGGGCCCAGGAGCCCCGTGAATTCTGTGAGAGAGGTGGGTGTCCCTGCCATGCCAGGAAATGGACAGCATGGCGGAAGGACTTGTCAGTAGGCTCTGGGTGACACCGGGGCTCGGGGAGGAGGGGCACATTTGTTTATGAACTATAGAAAGGCACACTGGAAGAAATCCACCTTTTAGTCCAGCTGTGCACTGCTGTGTGCTTTGGGACAGCCACACAGCCTCTCTGCAGTTGACCACATCGGAGTCACCACGACTGTAAACAGGACACCCTAAATCTCTGTTGTGGGGGTGTGTGTCCCTGTGAGGATTTATGATCTAGATCAATTACTTTGTAAATAGCTAAGCGCTATGCAAATTTTGGTGATTATTTACATTTTTGTTTCCCAACTGTAAGAGGAAGTTAGGCTTGATATAATCTTTTATCCTGCTGTACTATCCCAATTTGCTCAGATTCTTGAGGCCATCAAGTGTAAAGGACCACGTTGAGTGCTGTTGAGTACTGGGCAGTAGTAGGGCTGTTGAGCTGAGGGCAACTGGTCTCCCCTCCCCCACTGTTACTGGGTAAAATGAAAACCATGGAGACTGACTGGCCTGTGTACTCCACACAGATCACAACC